ATGTGTGGTAAATGTGAATTGTGATTTTGAGTCAAAATTTTGTGTTTCTCTTACTTAAATCCTATTGAATTGTTGGGTCTTGGCTGCTGATTTGGATCCCTTCGTTTTGTAAATGTAGCATTTTTGGCAAAGCTATAAGCTAATAAATTCCTGATTTTTGATTATCTATGATTACACTAGATGTGCGGGTTATCAAGACCAATGGAAGTAAAATAATTGCTAGAGTAATCTTGCTCAGTGAAAGACTTTCTTTTCTCATATATTTTATTTGGAAATGTTGTACACTAACAAGCCCCAAAGCTATGTTGGGAATATAATGCCATGATCATGAAACGGCTTCCTCTGGCGCTTCGTTCTTATGAAATCGGTTAGGCTTTTTACAAATGTGACACAGACCTTTGAAAAGGTGGTTATTACACAGAGATGTTGTTGTCGGGGAGAAACAAGTATCTGAAACGAGAGTCGAAGGGGAGTATTCCGCAGTTACGTGAGGCGAGAAGGCTTTGTTTTCTCTGTGAGATGCATTGGTCCACAAAAGCCGCTTGATGCGGGGGAAGGTACTTCGATATCCAAACCCCCAAGTTCGAGTCCTCTACCAAATTCTTGGCGTAACAATGGAGCATTTTGGGTATTAAGAGCTTTCCTTTGCTGCTCAGTCCTACCGAGGCTTGTATGAAGTCCCTTTGAGCTTCTAATAGCTCTTCCTTCACTCCTTTTGCTGTGTAAATCCTCACCTGCAACAAGAAACAAATGTCTCCAGTCATTGGACTTAACATTCCATACTTTATGTCAAACAAAAGGAGACAGATAGTGAGTTTGTTAGTTACCGCCGGGGAAGAGTACATTCCACAGCTTAGTGCAAAGGCGAGAAGAGGTTCATGTGTATCAATGCTTGCCTTGCGTTGTTCTTCTGATACTTTCAACTTGTGGATGGCAAGAAGCAAAGCCTGCATCAGAAATAAGAGTACATGTTAATTGATTCTTTAAGAGGAGAACACCTAACGCAGAAGATGAAGTAAGGTCACAAGATTCTACAATTTGTGGCCTGTGCATAGGCGGTTTCATCTTCAGTATCACATACTCCATTGCCGCTGCAGTATATGAGTGCCCTCCGACTGTATAGGCAGCCTATGAAGCAAACATAATGGAATAAAATAAGGCAAGATAGAAATGAGATGAACAAAACAGAGGTTATTTCAAGTGATAGAACCTTTTGCATCAACGAGAAGAGCTTCAAGTCGCTTCTTGGGACACCATAAGCCAAATACGCCTACATATAAAAAGACCACACAACTCTCATAAGCATCATTCCATTCAGAATGATTCTTGATAAGTAGAAAGGAAAAAGGAACTAACATGCATGATCAGCGCGTTATAAAGGTTAATCCAGAAAGCTAGCTTCTCGTCGCAGCTTAAATGAATAGGGTTTACTCTAGCGAGTTGCTCCACCAGTGTCCTATTCACAGAAACAGCAATTGTCACGTATTTTGAGTCTTTACAGTTTAATTGACAAAACCGTAAGATAGTGAAGGAAACACCATTACCTGAATTTCCTCAATGCTCCGGAAGCATATTCCAGCTGTTTCTTCCCAACAGACATCCAAGAAACCTCAGATGCCAAACTGTAGTTTCCAATCTCCGCCCAGCTTAACTTCCCACGAACTTTATATGGATCAAAGACATTTCCCGTGGCCATAACATCTGCATTATTTTGGATGTCTATTTGGGGGCTTTGCACCCATGAGGAGATCATTGACCGTTCTGTTGAAGGCCACCAGGACGATGAGCTTGATAGATGCCCGCGGGGTGATACCGGTGAGAGCTGGCTCTCATTTGAGGATACTTTGGAAGATACTGTCGGATCAGCAAGAGACATGAAGATATTCTTCATACATTTCACCATTTCTTCGGATAATAGATTAGGGTGATCCCACAGAAACTTAGGTAGCATTCCTCGAGGTAGCTTCCTCGCATTTGTCTTTCTCATTAGCCTCTTCTCAAGAAAATGATTACTTGGGTCCAATGTTTTCTGGTTTAGTGAGTGAAAATGTCAGCTACATATATGTTTTCAGACATGACTATCATAAGAAGGGTTATAGGAAAGAAGAATATTAGTTTATACCTCAACGGTTGATGATTCTGTCGGAGATGACTCACATGAAGATTCTTGGTTTTGGACTATTCGGTCTTGAGATGGACTGTCTTCTGCCGATTGATGTAATTCAGAATCCGAATGATTCAAATATGTCAAGCAAGAAGAAGAATCCTGCATTACTAAGACATAGTTATCCACTAATACATTTTTCTCTTACAAAAAAAATCAATGATGAGTCACAAAGGAAATGCATACTGGTGGAGAAGCCGAATGTGACAAATGGTATTCCGCAAGTCTCCTCTCGTTCCGTTCTTGGCTAAGTTGGAAATTCAGTGACATCATTTCTTGCTCGAGCTTCGTGACTGCAGTCTCTAGCATGGCTATATTGGAAAAAAGTTCCTGAGCCTGCCACAATTTTCAGAATCATTAGCTGAAAACTAAACGGGTAGTTTTAAAATGCAATCACAATAGCATGAGTTGAGAGAACACACAGGATGTGGAACACTAGTACAAGAAGATAGCTCCCAAGGATCTTTCTCCATGACACTCTCTAAAAAAGTATGCAAATCTATCTCTTCTTGGAGTTGCAGTTGCAATCTTTTTACCTGCAACATAAAACTTCTTTCAGAACCATAAACATTCCCCATAATCATTGCAAGTGTTTAGAAAATGCAGACTCGTATAGAAAAGCTCACATCTTCTTCAAGTTGAAATCTGTATGGAAAAGATTCACCACTTGTAGACTCTTGGCAACTTTCTATGCCCTGTAACAAAATCAAGCAAGCAAGCTCTTAAACCTTTTTCTCAAGAACTGCAGAAATTCATTCAAGAAGTGAACATTTGGACATAATTGAAAACAAATACCTCTGACTTGGTTTCTTTCCCCCGGAACTTTTTTCCAGAACATTCGAAGAATGGATTGGATCTGATGAACATTCAAGTCAATTAGTAAGGAGATTTGAAAAAAACAAAGTCCAGAAGTTGAAGAGAGAATACAGAAAGAAGAAAAAGAAATGGTAAATCCTTACTTAGATTTCAAAACTTGAGAGTCATACATGCTAAGGTTCTGGAGTTTGGCAGTTATTATTACCATAAAACCAAATGATGAATTCCTCCAACAAATGTACTTATAGCTTCTCCTCTCAAGTACAAAAGAGTTAAATTACATAATCCCTGCACCAAATCAGATTCACATAATAAATGAGAGATAAGATACCATTTAGAGGACAAGACCAATGTTGTTGTCTGCTAAGTACATTGACATTTTATAAAATTATGGAGATTGACAATGGATTTTTCTCAGCACATGTAGTCCAAGGACAAGATGAAGAAGCAAAAGAAGACATTGTTACACCTGTGAACATCTAATAAGGACAAATCTAATTGATAGATACAGAAAATTTAAGTGCATCAACATGTCCTTTTCAAAAACGACCAGACAATGAAACACATCACATGGTCAAATTCACATTGAAAAAGTTTGACAGGTTATTTGTTCGAGATAAACTTCAAGAACCAGATAAAACAAGATGCAATTCTAAATTTGGTGGAGTTTTAAAGAATGTGTGTAATCAAAAAGTTGAATTTCCCTTTGAGGTAATTTGGTTAAAAGATAAGATTTTTGAGCTTGGAATTGTACTGTTTGCTTGTAAAGAAGTACCCAATCATCTAAATTAAACTTTGAT